ACACACACACACACACACACACACACACACACACACACACACACACAAAAGCATTGATAACAAGCCAACTATAAAGAAAACACAGGCGCATCAGAAGAATTCAGTGTTGTGGGGATCGACCTGCAGAATACTGCCCATTATTTTGGCTGGAGGAACCAAAGCTCCTCTCACTGGGCAAAAGCCTTCTCCGACTGGTCCCTGACAGCATTGTGCGTAGATGCTTGCTGGTTGCCATGGTGAATGATGCTGATCTGAAGAAATGAATAATGTGAGCGTAGGGGACGACAGTGGCATTACTCAGTGGTGAGAGAGAGATCGGGGAGAGCCTGGTGCGGAGGAGGGAGAAGCGCATCGTCTCGGATTTGGTCCACTCTCAGAGGAAGAAGCCTAGCCATAGCCACTGCGAGCGTCAGGTAAGGGGCATGAATGGCTGGCTGTCTTGGCATTGAAAATGGCTTTTCCTTTCACACGGCCTGGAGAAGGGCCAGACTGTGGGAACAGAATAGTTAAAACCAGGAAGAGTTTAAACGCAGAAGGGAGGAAGAAAATAAATATGGGGGGGGGGGGGAGTGGAGTGAAGGGTGGATTTATCCCTGGAAGCCGAAGATGCTGCTGGCATCCTCAGTAGATCTTAAAAATGTCCGCTGCAGGGAACCCAGGCTATAATAGCCAGCAGCAGAGAGGAGGCAAACAGAAGGAAAGGCATGTGTGAGGATAGAATTCCCAATTACCCTGACTGGAGGGTTTTACAGAGCGCAGGGTTGTGTATTATAGGGTATGAATTCTGCACCATTTATGGCAGTTGGAAGCATATTTGCTGGACGTGGGGGTCCCTGTTTGGGAAGGTGAGTATGTAAGATGAGACCAGGGAGGGGAGGGAGGGCGGGTAAGTCAGTCTCCTTCCTGATAGTCATTTCTGGAAGGATCTGCACACACTCGTCTCATCCTTGTTGTTTCCCATTTCCTGGGCAGAATTCCCAGACAAATGGAAATGAGGGATAAGCATTTTACTTTCTTTAAAGAGGAAAATCAAGGATGGAAAAGCTGCTTCACACTGTGATATTCTCCCATGGTTCACTTACCCTAACAATACAAGCAAAAAACCAGAAATCAGTTTGGCTTAGTATTCCTCTCTGGGCTACAGTCTGACCAACAGTCTACAACGCAATCTGCACTTCTGGCTGGAGAGGAGGGATGGGGAACAAGGCAGGGGGAGATGGCCACAGGACCCACAGAGGCTGTCTACCACTGTCTCTAGATTTTTGATCAGGGGAAATTGAGAGGGACCGTTTTCTCTCTCACAGATAGAATGGAAGAAAAGCCAAACCCCCATGTCTCTCTGTCACCAAAGCAACAAGGCCGGCAAGGTGAACAGGGCTCATCTGACTTGTCCAGCTGCACGGCCGCCACAGCGTTTCCACTGGCAGTCACGCTCTGTTTCTGAACCCAGTGGCTTTGCAGGGAAACATAGTGACTAAGTTCTCTCTCTTCCTGTTAGCTGAGATGCCAGCCTGCTCATCTGTAAGATGGGGATGGAGTCTATCATTGTGTGAGAAGCCATCTACCAGAGCTTGGATTCAGCAGCTGCTTACTTGCTGTACATGGTTAGAGATCAGTGGTTCTCATCCTGTGGGTCATGCGACCCCTTTGGGGGTCAAAAGACTCTTTCACAGGGGTCACCTAAGATCATCGAAAAGCCCAGATACTTACATTACAATTCATTACAGTAGCAAAATTATAGCTATGAAGTAGCAACAAAATAATTTTATGGTTGCGGGCGGGGGGGGGGGGTCGCTAAGACATGAGGAACTGTGTTAAAAGGTCGCAGCATCAGGAAGGTTGAGAACCACCAGGAGAGATAGCCATAAAAGTCATGGTACCGGGACTATTGGAAGCTAAGCTGTAAAAGTCATGGTACGGGGTCTATTAGAAGCTAAACTATCTTGGGAGCTGATGACCTTGTACTAAGAAACTAATACCTTGTTACCTTGGACTCTGCCAAAACATAATACCAGCAGAAACTCTGAGGTGAGATTGTGATTGCGGCAGGCAGGTGCCGCAGTAAATCTCCACTAGCCATGGGAAACATAACTCAGAGTCTGGAAAAAAAAAAAAAACCAGCCACTGAGCATAATGTTCTAGGTAACAGCTCAGAGCACTCACAGCAGAGTCAGGAAGCCAGGAGGGGACTGACTGATCTGAGAATCGTAAGATAGGCCCTCTGAGATTCTACGGATCTCTCATCACAGTGCCTGTGTTTATAAAGGGCTGGGATCCATGTTTTAAGTAATGGATTTCAGCCAGGATGGGTGTGGCTGGGGCCATGTGGGCACAGATTGGTCAGGCCTGAGGGCTACCAGCTTTGTCGTGAGCCAGCCCCCATTCCCACTCGTACGTCTACCACTTGTTGGCTGCCTTAGTTGCTTACCCTCTGGGCCTCCATTTTTAGGGTCTGTTTGATGAACTCAGTGTTGGTGGCCATCCCAAACGCTCAGCCTGCAGTGGCTAGGATTGTAGTAAATAAACACGGACGGAGGGGGATGTCACTCTTCGCTGTGATTTGGTTCCAGAACCGGGATGAACATTGAGGTGGGGAACGTGTCTTACACGGGAGCCATCGTCTCCTGGTCGACCTCGGAGCCCTGCTTGGAGGACTATTACCATATTATGTACAGGCCTAACTGGAACAGTATCTTCTCCAGCTATCTGCGCTACAGCTTCCATCACGAGGAGAAGGTACCTCGAACCATCACCTCCGTGGCACTGGAACACCTCGCCCCTTCCACGCTCTACTTTCTCTGTATCAGCTGCAAGAAGGCTGCCTTCCCATACAGTCACTACTGTACCATGTTCCACACCCTGGATAAGAGTCCGCTGGCTGCGGGGGGCTCCCTGGTGGACCCCCAACTTTCCCTTTGGGTACTGATGGCCATCCTGCTGGCCTGCTTCACTGCTGTGCTGGCCTTCATCTGCCTCCAGTTCTGGTGCATCCGCTGTCATGAGCCTCGATGGTCTTACAGAGCTGGCCACATGGAGGAAGCCAATGGGTTGGTAAGATGGCCGGAGGAGGCCCCAGCCCTGGGCCAGAGGGAAGAAGACCTGCAAGGGCTCCCCCTGGTGGAACTGCCACGCAAGAACTCTGGGATGAGAGCAGAAGCGGAACCGGAAGCAGAAGCCAACCAGGATGTGTTGGGTGTGGTGGTCTTAGCTAGGGAGGGCGGCAACCAACCAGCCATACTGCCTCACTATAGAGAGTGAGCAATGGGGAGGAACTGGCCCATTTCACACAGCCTAAAATGCTCTGTACACTGCATCCTATGTGAAAATTTGTCTATAGGTCACCCACTGCTCCCCTCTCAGATTTCAGTGCTGTATAGATGAGTGGGGTTGATTGGATGCCAAATGACAACGGTCCCCAGGCTGGAAAACACAGACCACCACCCAGGTATGCCAGTGGCAAACAAGGCGTTGCTTTAGTGTCGTTCATTTGGAGGCCTAGCTAAGCACTGCAGTGAAGGCCTTGCTTCAACATTAAAATCAACTGCAGCTACATCACAGAGAGAGAGCGCAAGTAGCCGGACCTGAATCTCACACACTACCTGAAAGAAATGCTGAGTCAGACATGGACCCTGAGCTTTGCTTTCCGTGGTTCTTTTTAAAAGGATGAAGGCCTCCTTCGACTTCCGGGCAATCGCACACCACGCCCTGCGCCTCCAGGTTCACTGTTTTCTAAAGCCACAGACTGGAGCATCACTGTTTACCATGAGCAGCCGACACCTTTTATTTAAATTGACCACAGCTTTAAAACGCAGACTCTTAGGAGGCAGCTTTGTGCTATCCCATAAACAAAAACCCCAGGACCCTGCTGTTATAAACAGAAGGGCACAGGTGTAAGAATAAATACAACAAAAATATTAAATTTGATGACTAACTCTGCCTGCCAATGCCTCTGGCTTTAAGAGCATCTCTCTTGTGTTTGATCAAAGGAGAGGCCAGCCAGTGCTGAAGAGACTAGCATCTCTTGCCTTTATATAGCAAAAGGTTTGGAAGAGAATTGGAAAGAGAAACATGTCTTTAGTTTGTGAAGCATGTCTGTGAGTCGCCTCAAATGATGTCTGCCACCACACCCCCTTTTCTTGGTTTGTTTGGGGGTGCAATCTCACTACATAGCCTCGGTTGACCGGAACCTGCCATGTAGACTAGTCCTTGAACGCACAGTGGTCCTACTGCCTCGACCTCTCCAGTGCTAGGACAGGTGAGCACTACCACACCTGGGTTAGAAGCTTCCTTTGGTTTGAGAAAATCACCTTAAAGAGTCTGACTCCTAGGGAGAATACACCCACACCCGCCCCCGCCCCCAGCACCCTCCTCATACACTGTGAGTGGCCCATCCAGAACTTCTCTGGGTTAGCCACACTTCTAAATCTTGAAGATCTCTTGACCTCATCCACGTAAGCTGACCTCTGCTTACTCTGAAAATGAGATCTAAGGTGGCCATTTTTTGTTCTGTCAGCAAGAAAATCACTGGCGTTTTTGTGGTGAGAGACACGTTTCACCTTTATGGTGGCTTCCTTTATTCCTCCCAAATGAGTCCCTATTGTAATTAAACTGCGACACCATTGGCAGGACTCGGTGAAAGTCATTCCTTATCACGCATGTGGACATGAAGTTATAGGTCGGTGTAGATTATGTCTTTTCGCCCTGGGTGCATGTCTAACTGATGGCTGGCTGACAAGGGGCACGTACTAAATGTCACTGAATGAACGGGCAGAAGGACCCTGTGGGGGTAATTACTTCGAATGAGGATGTGCGCGTGTGAACACAAACCACATGAGGTAGAGGAGACCTTCTTTTCAGAGAGGCCCCAGCCATCCACAGTGGCCTACAAGCCCTGTTCGCAAACCCCTTATATTTATAGAGCCCAGAATCCCAGAATCACCAGACTATGTTAGGATGCATGGACCAAGAAATGGGAGGAACTGGGAAGCCGCAAGGAGAAGCCCCACAGACCCACTTACCCACCAACCTAAGCAGAGCTCCCAGCCAGTTCTCCAACCCCTACAGCTTTGGTTACCCCATCCCTGCTGGCTGTGAACCAATAAAGATGGCTGTACTTGCAGAGGTTTCTGCCTGGCTCTCAATGCCTCTTGGCCACAGCCTCTGGCTTTTGTGATTCTGGGAATACCTTTCTGTTTTTTGTTTTTTTTTTCTGCACTCTGTCTGTCACAGGTGAGATGGGCGTAACTAATTAATTACCTTGGATCCATAGAGGTAATAGGGCTGCACATTGGCGGGTTTATCTCGTTGTGGTTCCTGGGTGAAAGGGATGGCAGTTCGGACGAAACTAGAAGACAAGGGACAGAGAAGAAGTTAACTGAGTCCCAGGGACACCCTTCACGGGACAGGAGACTGCAGAAGCCCCTCCCCACCGATGATGCCTACAAAGGAGCTGCACTCTCCCGACACCGCCCTCCTTGGATTACTGCACACTTTTCTATCCTTAAACGGGAAACCTGGAGACCAGGAGGCACAAGAGTCAGGGTGTCCTAGGTCTGAACTTGGCCTTCTCTGGGGCTCCAGTTTGGTTTAAAAGTTTTGTCAGTGAACTCTTTCTGTAAAGGGCCAGACAGAAAATCCTTCAACTCTGCAGGCCAGATGTCTTGGTCACAAGGACTCAGCTCTGCCCCGAGCAGGAAAACATCATAAACAACAGCAGGCTAGCGAACGTGCGAGGTTCCAGGAGAGTTGTGACTTCTAAATTATCTTCACATCACGACTATTCCTCTTTGGATTTTCCCCCAACCACCTACTAAAGATGGCAACACTGGGCTGGGGAGATAGCTCAGTCATTAAGCACGGGCACCAAAGTTGGGACCCCTAGATCCCATGGAAAAATGCTCAGTGGGTATAGCTGCTCCCCTATAGTTTTGGCCTCAGGAGGTAGAAGGTGAACTCAGTGAGTTCCCTAGAGAAACATACAAGCTAGGAATAAGCTATGGGATAATTGAGAGAGCCTGTCTCAATGAACAAGGTGGAAGAGCTACTGGGGATGATTCCTGTCATCAACTTGGGGCTTTCATGTAGGTGTGTTCATGCGCACACATACACACCCACATATTGTGTGCCCACACATATTCAAACATACATACATGGACACAACACACGCATACAAAAATGGGAGGGACAATGACAAAGCATTCCCAAAACAAAGACGGTAGCACCATTCTTGGTACATGGACTGTTCACAGCCAGTTTCCATTCGTGTACGGTTGTCATGGCTGGTGACAAGATAGGGTATATAGTTTGTGGACAGGCTATAGTTTGTAGCCCTGACTCAAACATGCAATAAAGTTAAATCTTTATAACGTTGGGATGTCTTGCTCAATGCACAGATTTAGGTACGTCTGTGTATGGAATCTTTCTATATTCTTCCATTGATTTAACATGGATTCAATTCACAGCACCCTGATCCAGGCTCCTGCAGTTCAAAGACCACTAACACATTTCCACCCATCCTTCTGCTCTCGCTTGGTTTATGAATACAGGTGTGAGGCTGTGTGTACAAAGGATTAGGTTTTATCTCTCCTTCAGTGCCTGCCCCAGCGCTATGTGCTCCTTCCAGGAAGCCAAGTTCCACTCTGCAAAGAGGCCTGCTTTGCGCCTACATGTATGTGTAAGTCCTTAAAACGCACAATGTGACCAGAGCACTGTCCTCTGTGCTCTCCCAGGTGATGATCCCATCCTGGCCTATGGAGTCTCTAGTCTGTTCCTACTGTATCTTTCATGGCTGCTGTGGGGCTCCCTGCATGTGTTAAGGCCGGCAGGGAAACAATCCAGATGAAGTGAGAATGAAACTGGGGTTCAACTGGGCTTTAGTGAGCCAGCGCTGGGCCAGAACTCCTGGAGTCTGACACCGGGTAGTTTCTCTTTCACACATTTAAACACAGTAAGACTTTGGGGGAAAAGTTTCCTTGTGGCAATTACCACAACAGAACTTCAGGCATGGCTACATTGAGACTCCTAGCACCTGTGACCTTTCCCACAAGAATGAGTTCTATTGACTGAGGACCAGAGCTCCGATAAGACCTAGGGAGGGGCAGTTTGTAATGAGCACAGCAGCAAACTCTTCTGCAGAGTACAAGGGCCCTCTTCCATGAGGATGAGTTCTACTGACCCAGAGACAATGCTCAGAAGTCTGGGGGATTTGCCAGGGCTGGCTTTACAGACTAGCAAAGACGACCAAGTATTAACACATTCATTCGCAGCCTTCTGGGTGGAAAACAGGTGTCAGTTTCTCCTGCTGAAGAAAAAAGGCCTTCGCAGTTAACAATTCTGATTTTTCTAGTGCTTATCTGTGAGCTTGTGGCTGCCTTTATCCTTCATCCACTCCACCTCCCTTAGTGTTACCTTTTAGTTATGTAGAAGGTTTGCCCGTAACAGACTTCTGCTGTTTGCCTTGCTGATACTTTCCAACTCACCTCCTGCACCACAGTCTTGAAGGAGAAAACCTACATCAAAGTTTGCCTCATTCCTGAACTGGGCCAAGTCTGATTAGAGGGCTCCAAGCAGCTGGGTGGCATTTGGTTGCTCACCATGGCATTGTTACCTTCAGTACAGAGTCTACACCCGGGTGCGGCTCCGGATAAGCACTTGTCACAGGAATGAACAGAAGTGCTCGGTGTAGTTGGGAGTCAACTGACCATGATACCCTCTTCTCCTACCCTGCCCAATGGCCCCTGCACAGGGATTCCCTTACCGGTTTGTGGATCCATTATAGCAGTAGTTGGGAAGGAAGTCAAAGTTCAGCTCCCAGAAGACATGCAGGGTGATGCGGCCATAGGGGGCAGATACATTATGATTGGCTTCTCGGAACATGGCGTCGAAGCTGTCCAGCGTCATGTGCTTACAGAGGAGTCGGTGGGTGAGCCGGTTAATCTCCAGCAGCCACTCTAGCTCCTGATGGAGAGAGAAACCGAGGCTGCTAAAGTGTTGCAGGTAACACACACACACACACACACACACACACACACACACACGCTGTACACTCCTTACATCTAGGGGAGACCTCCCCTGGACCACCTCTTGACCTCCTCCTATACAGTGACTAGAACCCCCTGTAGTGACGCAGGGCAATGTCCCCCTCTTCTGATACTCTAGGGACAGGATAGGAGGGAAGGCTACATGCAACCTGGAAGAAGATGTCTGACCACGTGCAAACACCATCTGCAGCCCTCTGGGTAGAAAGCGTGTCTGGGATTTCTGATTTCCTAATTGGTGAGGAAAAGCCCGTCTCTTAGTGTCAGCGTCATAAGGGACACTGTGATGCATCTCACTAGAGGTTATTTCTCTGTCCTGCAGAAAGCGCTAAACTACCGCCTAAAATGACATTTCTAGGTTTTTAGATAAGCCATCATCAAATTTTGACAACGTTGTATGGTTTAACTTAATTAATACGTTCTTATTATATGATATATATATATACATATCATATAATATGCCAGTATTGCTGTAGCCCTTATACATGTGAAAACTGAGGCTCTGAGAAGACGAGGAACTTGGCTTCGGATCCAGGAACTGGGTTCCAAGGTAACATTCTTAACCATGACCAAATT